TTCTGGGTGGTCCTTTTCTTCTTTCGCCTGAAGAACACAACGTCCACTATTTACATAAACAATCACGTTGACTCATCAGGCTCATCAGACCACAATACAAGTCCATTTCAGATAAGGTGAGCCCAGAGAAGTCGGCGGTGTTTCTGGTGTTTATGGCTTCCGTTGTGCACAGTACAGTCTTAACCCTTTAAAATCCCAGGCTTATTACATAAAGAGGCTTAATATACAGTGGACTGCAATGCAAACTGGCTAGGCTATTCTTAGGTTAGAGGTGTGTAGTAAAACTTTAGGCCCGCCGGAAGGCTCATGGCTATTTAAGAGGTTAACTAATATGAGTGGATGCAGTGATGAATGGTGTTCGACAGTGGTTCGTCAAAGTATTCCAGAGCCCAAGAGGTGATATCCGTGGTGATACTTGGCCTTTCCTGAATGCTCTTTTTATACCCAAGCGTAATTGATCACCTGTGTAAGATATTTTTAAACAGTTCACTGCATTCCTAGTCTTGAATTACCCCATTCCCAACTTTTTTGGAACAGAGGCTTGTATTTCCAGTGAAAGCAAGGACTTGTAGCCACATCACCTGCTTGTTTCGAGAGGCAGGGGCTGAAGTGAAGGTTGTGGTGCAGCAGTTCCAGATGATACTGAGCAGAGAAGAGAAAATTACTTTGCACTACTCTCACTTTAGTTCTCCAGAGCCCTGCGTAGCCATTTTTCTTAGCACATATTGACTATGCAAATGGGGCTGATATAAGTCAGGACTTTATGTTTGCGAAAAAGCAGAAGTTGTTGATTTTTACAATCTTGTTTTCCATCTGTTCTTCTGTGGTTTCGTCTGTGTTTGTATTCTTCATTGCGGGAGGCAAAACCGAAGGTGAGGTGCATTGAAATGGAGAATGGTCTTGCAGGATCAGGTTGAGATTTGCTGACAGGCTCAAGGCCTCCTTCACTGCTTCTTATGGATGTTTTCATTTCAGATCATTCGTGTTGGAGGCGTCTGTGGTTTTCATATTTATATAAGTAGGGTTGTCACTATTGATTATATTAGTAATAGAGTAATCTATTTTTATCTAATCTGAGCTTTAAAATAATTCATTAATGTAACATGGAGTTATTTCTACAGTTCGGATTATAGCACAGGATGAATATATGCTGGGGTTATTTCTATGGTTTGTTTTATAGCACTGGATTAACATAATCTGAGGTTATTTCTATGGCTTGTTTTATAGCACAGGATTAATATAACCCAATGTTATTTCTATAGCTTCTTTTATAACACATTATTATAACCCAGATTTATTACTACAGTTAGTTTTATATCATGGGATTAATATAATCTGGGGTTATTTCTACAGTTTGTATTATTACATGGGCTTATTATAACATTATATATTATAATGTAGGGTTATTTCCTTTTTTTATAGCACATGATGAATATAACATATTGGCATGGGATTAGTATGATCTGGGGCTATTTCTTGGTTTGTTTTTTTTTGGAATGGGATTATTATAACCTGAGGTTGTTTTTACGCTTAGTTTTATAGCACAGGATTAATATAATCTGAGTGTATTGCTATGGCTTGTTTTATAACACGTGATTAATATAAACTGAGTGTATTGCTATGGCTTGTTTTATAACACGGGATTAATATAATCTGAGTGTATTGCTATGGCTTGTTTTATAACACGGGATTAATATAATCTGAGTGTATTGCTATGGCTTGTTTTATAACACGTGATTAATATAATCTGAGTGTATTGCTATGGCTTGTTTTATAGCACGTGATTAATATAATCTGAGTGTATTGCTATGACTTGTTTTATAACACGGGATTAATATAATCTGAGTGTATTGCTATGGCTTGTTTTATAACACGGGATTAATATAATCTGAGTGTATTGCTATAGCTTGTTTTATAACACGGGATTCATATAACCTGTGGTTATTTCTATGGTTTGTTTTTGGGGGATTATTATAACCTGGGGATGGATGGATGGATTGATTGATTGATTGATTGATTGATTGATTGATTTGATTTATTTATTTATTTATTTATTATTTTACATCTTATTTTATAGCCCAAGTTCAACACTGAAGCAGTGAAAATTGCTGATAATAATTGCGTTACCCCACCTTCCCATATTAAACTAATCTCATCTATACTTTAAAAATACTTCATTAAACGAAATATCAAAAACACACTATAGCAAAACATGCATAAGTGGGTGTGGCCATCAGGCTGCATTATGGTTGTGCAAGTTGCCAAAATTTGATCACTTTTTAAAAGCAGATCAGGGCTAACATTGTGAAGAAGTCGGAAGCTAATTAGCTTAGCTAATCCAGAAGGCTGCTCAGAACTTATTTACTGGAACGTTCCTGAACGTTCTGATCATATTTTCCCTTGTTAGTGCCTCGTATTTCATTCCGAAACCAATTCTGAAAGTGTTGTGGTTACTAACCAAAGGAGCCAAAACCGACCTGCAACTTTTACTTATTTATTTTTTTAGCAGTGAGCTGATGTAGCGTGGTGTGACTTTCCCCATTTGTATCTTGAAAAAAGCTGTGAACACCGCTGTTTCTCTCTTTTTCAGTCTCTCACTCTGCGCCGTTCTCCTCCTCTTTCCTCTCGCTCCGTCTCGCGCTCTCGTCAGAATCAATCAGTATAGTTCTGCATGAGTGCTCAGGCCGCTGTCTGCGAGCGGCGCGAGATTGAGAGGGCTGAGAGCCGACGGCGCGCGCACGCACACATCTGAACAGCCCGCTGCAACACAAAGCAATTATGACAGATGAACAGCGCCACATCTGAAATCAAAGCGCTCCTTAATCAATTTGAATTCAATTTTCTTTTCTAAGCTTCAAGCCAACTGTGTTTTGTTTGAACCCGCTATTCTTTTGCATAGCCATTCTTCGTATCCTCCATGCGAGAAGCGAACAGCACAGGACTCATCTTTGATGCCGTCTTGTCTTCTCTTTTTTATCTCTAGGAGTATGTGCTGATTTTAGCTCCACCAGAATGATCAACTAAAATCTAACTGCCCCAAGTGTGAATTTGACCACTTCAGCAGCATTGGTATTATTCACTTATTCACAGTCTTATTGTAATGAATAATACTATAATCTATTCACTCACTACTATAAATTATACAGTATCTACTTTAGTAACTACTATGATTACTATGATAACTACTATGAATAATTCAGTAACTACTATGAATGATTCAGTATCAACTATACATGCATTTCTATGAATTAGTCAGTATATATTGTGAATAATTTAGTTATTATTATGAATTATTCAGTATCAAGGATGATTTTATTTCTATGAATTACTCAGTATCTACTATAAATTATTCAGTATCTTCTATAAAGTATTCAATATCTACTTTGAATTATTCAGAATTATTCAGTAGCTACTGTTGATTAACTACTATAAATTATTCAGTATCTACTTTGAATGATTTAGTAACTACTATGGATTATTCAGTATCAACAATTAATTTATTCCTATGAATTATTCAGTGAACTGTATGAATTATTCATTAGCTACTATGAATTATTTAGTAATTATTACTATTACTGTGAATCATTCAATAACCACTACACATTATTCAGTATTTATTATGAATTATTCATTATCTACTGTAAAAAATGTTCAATTTTTACAATGAAATATTTTATATCTTCTATAAATTGTTCAGTTACCACTATAAGTGATCCAGTATCTACTATGAATTGTTCAGTATCTACTATGAATTGTTCAGTAACTACTATGGATTATTCAGCGTCAACTATGACTTTTTCTGTCAATTCAGTAACTACTGTGAATTTATTTATAGGAATTATTAATACTATGAGTTATTTATATGAATTATTCAGTAACTATTATGAATTATTCAGTAAGTACGGTGTATTCATCTGTATCAACTGTATCCGTATCATGTAACAACATTAACTTTATTTCTATGAATTATTCAGTATGCACTATGATTCATTATTATTCACGGTCAACTATCCACTATAAAGGCTACTATTAATTATTCAGTATCATCTCTGAATTATTCAGTAGCCACTATATTTTTTTCCAAAGCTTCTATGAATTTTTCAGTGACTTCTATAAATAATTCACAAACTACTACATATTATTTAGTTTTTACTCTAAATTATTCAGTAACTACTATAAATGATTCAGTATTAACTGAGTTTTTGATGGACTGTGAATTATCCAGTATCCAGTATAAATTATTCACTACCTACTTTTAGTTGTTCTGTAATCGTTATAAATTAGAAACTACTAAAATGATTTAGTTATTACTACAGATTGTGTGCTATGATATAGATTTTACCCTATTGTTGAGATTGTGATAAGCCTAAAATAGCAATAATAAAACAGAAAGTAATAGGAACAATAGTATAAAATATCATTATTATTAGTGATATTATTACTTTAATTAATGAATGTTTTCAGCATTTTAAATATACATTTCAGGTTACATCGCTCACCACTATTATGAGAGTGAAGTCACTTTCACACCTGCCTTTCTTGATGTGGACAAGTCAGTTTGTTTTGACAGGTCCTGCCCAATCCACCCCTCATACACACTGCCAAAAAAACACATTTAATTACATGTTTGAGTTACTCAAATAAAATATTCCCCTATAAATTTGTATAAATATATAAATATGTTCTCAGATTAACTAGGACAATGATGTCTAAGGTGCATTTTAACCATTGCAGTATGAAACAAACAGGACCCTCATGGTGTTTAGGGGGTTAATAGGGTTCAAAAGTTTGTGAGCTAAGTTGTGCCTATGAGGCAGGAAGGTCAGTGCAGCAGTGGTTAGAAGAAAGTTAAAGATGTGAAGCCCTCAGATGCTAAATCAGCATCCCAGCTGCCTGTCCCAGGATATGAAGCTGTGGCTGAGGAAGCCCTCAGTGCTGGACCTGTTGGCATCCTTTAGAACTGCTTTGCCCTGAGCAGCCTTTTATCTTCCCACCCGCAGGGAGTGGTGTCTGCAGAGAGCAGCAGAGGAGGTCTGCTCCTGGAGGAACCCAAGACTCTGCTGTTTAAAGGGAACACCTACAGTCTACAAGTCTCCATCCAGGACCTGCCCCAATTCCTGTGGAGCATCAAACCCTTTACCACCTGCCAGGTAAGCTAGCGGCACTTTCTTTGTTTTTTTTGGTGCCAAGACCTTCTCCAAGACTTAACTGTACACTGGAAAAAGTAATGTTCTGAGGTAACCTCACATTTACTTACTTTTGCCAGTCGTTGTGTGGATATGACATACTGTATCCATGTTAAAATAAAGTGGACAGTTAAATAAATTCAAATACGTTCAAATTCTCTGGAAAAAAAAGTTCTATACCCTGTCATTGCCCTGGTTTAAAATCAGAGCGCACCTTTTCCTGAATTCAGTTTCCAGTCAAAACAGCTAATCAGTACATGCTATTCATTTTTCAGGATATATTTTTTTGAGATTAGATAGAAGATGATGCACTTGCATAATAAAGGAGAAATTCAAAAGAAAATTACTGATAGAACAGAAGCTCCCTGTCACTGCCTTGAATAGAATTAGGTCAGCCAACTAAATACTGACTGAATTATTTTATCCATAAGAAACAATAACAACTAATAACACATATGAACTATATAAATTATTATGCAAAAGTCAAAGACCGCCCTTCATGGAGTTAAAAAAATAATTAAAAGCTACAGAGAAAAATGGAACTCCCTAACAACCACCCGCAAGATCCGGTAGAGCACAAAAACAGTCGCCATCAGTTAAACTGCACTTAAAGACGGCAAATTTCTTTGGAAAACTAAAAGAATGGAAGCTGTAATAAAGGCAAAGGATGGGCACAATAATTACAGGACAGAAGAAAGGTCCAGCTCCCCTCAAAACAAGACGTAACGTAGCAGTGTTAGAGTGAGAAGCTATAATCATCCAGCCACTGTTGTTCTCACTGGACGTTGGTGATGAAAATTGGAAACCGGGCTCACCTTATATTCATGTTTACCCTGCGTTTACGTGAGCTTTGTGATCAGTTTATTTGACCCCACCATTCACACGATGAAAATATTGTCAATATATTATTGTAAGTAATAAAAACATACTGATGAAGCTTCTTTTGTCTGCTCACATAGCTATAACATAGTGCACTCATAGGCCCATATCCAGTCCTAGGGTTCTACCTGACCTAACACACTTCATTCAGAGCATGAATTATTATGGCTTACTAATGAACTGATGACTTGAACTTGGTCCTGATGGCTTAGATGGGACCTCCTATCATATTCTTCTTCTTTCTCTCCTGTCTTTTTATGCTGTTCTATAGGCAGCTCTGGAGAAACGTAATTGGTAAGATTAGAAAGCAGGAAGCTGATCTGAGAACAGCAGAGTGTTTATTTCCAGCTGACGGTATTGTATGGATACGTCGCACTGTCAACCTAGAGTCAGCGTTCTGATTCAGGGGAAGGAGAAAGACTATTTCAGGAGCAAGTCAGTCATCCTACTCCAGCGCATAAAAACCACAGGGACGTGACGAGGCAGGATTTACTGCTGCAAGTCAGGCTCCCATTTCTCTACCAATCACATTCTCTCGGCTCAGCAACACTGTGAAATCACACTACATCCAGACATACTGGAGGGGTGCAACTCAGACGAGTGTTCAAGGAATAGTTTGGTGAAAAAAAGTTTTATACAGTTTCTCACTCTCTTCACCTGAAACGTAGTCTGCAAGGGTAATGTAGCTAACATGAATTTGGACAAATGTGTTCACCACATTCAGACTTTAGAATGGCTGTTAATGTTTTAGTCACATACTTTTATCAACATTTTATAGGCTTCAAATAATCATTGTAACAATGTGTAGCGGTACTCAAATGCAATGTATTGCCATTTTTGTGTCACAACATGATATATTTTGGATATAGAATTAGTAAATGTAAAATATTAAATTTTGAATTTTTTGTAATTTTATTGTTGTCTCTAAGAGAAAACAGTGCTTGTTGAAGGGACAACAGGCTCGAGTCATTTTCTTAGAATACATAAAATAAATAAAAATAATGTAAACAAAAGTGCAACTCCTGGATTTTAATAGAGATGGATACTACATCCAAATAAAAGTGGGCTGTACAACCAAACAAAGGTGGATACTACAACTGAGTCAAGGTGGACTCCACAACCAAATAGAGATGGACTCTTCAACCGAACAGTGGTGGACTCTACAACCAAACAGTGGTGGACTCCACAACTGAATAGTGGTGGAATCTACAACTGAATAGCGGTGGACTCTACAACCTAATGGAGGTGGACTCTACAGCCAAAAAGAGATGGACAGAGGTGAAAGGGAATTTTTCAAATAAGAAGCTTGCTAACTTTAGCTTCTGTTTTCCCTAATCAGGGAAAAAAAAATAATAACATGCATATTCTAACACCCCTAGTATTTCTGAACAAGTACCTGAATACTCATTCTCAAAATCACCTTTCAAAAACAGCATTTACACTTCATAATTAACCATCACGTTAAGTATGTTCATCACTGCAATTCAAAATACATCCAGTAGGTGGCACCAGCGTTCCATTTTACCCTTCCAGTCAGCATTTCAGTACACACCAGCTGAACTAGATATTTGTCTGACGTCCTTCAAAGTTCTGTGAGATGTAAAAGACACATGTCTAGTGCAGCCAGTGTGGACTGCAGTGCTGATTAAAATGGAAGCCCTTGTCCTGTTGCTTGCTTTAGGAACCTGTTTTACTTTCACTTGATCAGTGAAGTGTAGAGATCCAATCAAATCTCATAGCCCCACTTTCTATATTGTTCTGAATTGTATTTAAAATTTTAGTTTACTAAACTGTGCTAATGACCTGGTTCCCTGCAGCTCCTGCGCTGTACTAACTCTTCTCTGGTTCAGCTTTAAAAATGTATGATTGTAATTTCACCACAATAAACAGATCTGCTGAGTGTGCTCTCAAGTTTTAAACCTACAGTAAAACTAAAGCAGTTCCACGATGGAGCTGACAGTGCCGAATCGGAGTGTGACGACATGATGATGCAGATGTGTCGTGTTTAAGGCATGTTATACTTACATATTTGAGATCATTGCTTAAGCTTGATGTTCATCCATGATATACCAACCTCTACTCACAACAACCAACACTGAAATGGTACATGGCATCCCTAGATGACAGTATGTCTTAGAGTAATAATAATCATTATTCATATAGCACCTTTCATACATTAAAAATACAGCTCAAAGTGCTTCACAATACAAGATCATCAAAATAAAGTAAACGCATAATAAAAATGCAACAAATACAAGCAATAACAGAGCCAGAAACCACATAAGCAACTCTATTAGAGATTTCTTATAACAACTTCGCTCAGTTTGAGGCAAGTTTGTGATGATTTAGGGATGCAGTTAGCACCATGCTAATTGATAGGGTATAAATGCATCAGCTACATTGGCCTCATAGCTCCAGTGCAAAGCTAAAGAAGCAAACAAAAGTCTTGGCAGACCCACTGCGTTTGGGTTAAGGGGGAAAACTGTGTAAAATATTTCGATTCAGCGTAAACAGAGCGCCTCCCTGGTCACTGTGATATGCGGTGCTGGGTGAACACGGGTCACCGGAGGTCAAGGACGCTCCCTGCTCTCGTGCTTCTTCTCAGAAATTAATTAAACATCAAAGCCGATCGCTCTCTAGTGTGTGTAACGCTTAGCCTGGGAGCGACCTCCGCTGCCGGAATTAAGAGGGATTTGGGTTCGTGTCTCTTTTGACCCGAAGATTTCAGAGGAGCTGCTTTCAGCTCAGAGAGGAGCTTTTAATGCCATTCAGCACACAGGCCTGTTTTACTGACTCAGCACAGCCAGAATGCACAGCACTTTATATCAGATCACTGCCATGTAGAGAGCTGATTCATCTCCCGTTAAACTACCTCTCCCTCTCTCTCTCTCTCTCTCTCTCTCTCCCCCTCTTTCTCTCTGTGCTGTAGGAGTTTTCATTCTGTCAGGTGTGGAGCAGCAACCAGCAGCCTTTGCACTGTGCCTTTTCTCTGGAGAGGTTCACCACTGCCACCACGCAGCTCTCCTGCAAGATCAGCGTGCGCCAGGTCAAAGGTCATGAGCAGATCCTGCAGGTCTACACCTCCGTGGCAGAGGTCAGACGTTTTTACCGCCTCTCTTTGTTCTTAACCAGACAACCATGAAACAGTAAACATGTTGACCTTGAAGGTTCAGCGGATGCCTTAATCTCTCTTCTAAACTTGTTCTCTACATGCTTTCTTTGATCTTTAGGTTTTTGAGGATCATATTTCACACATTTCGTATGATATTATTATGATATTAGTGATCATTTTTTATTAGATGTGTATTAGTGGGCAGTATAGGGATGTAAACAATGAATTGATCAACTGTTAACCAAATAAATAGTCACTTTTCCAATGGTTGGAAATCACACATAGGTGTGCAGAATTATAGAGAAGGATGTGGTGGACGGCGACGGCTTTTGAGCTGAACGGCAAACATAACTTTAGAACTTTAGAACATAGAACTTTCAGCAGCCTCAGCAATATATCATCACTGTCCAAAACAGTAGCTTTACAGGAGAGAGCAAAGATGTTCTTAACCTGTAATGCAAATTAATGGATTATATCATATACACAGTGATGTCTGGTCCCACTTAAGCCGGCCTTAAACTACACGACCTTTACCTCGATTTTAGGCCCGATTCTTAGTCTGGCTGAGTCTGTGCTGGTCGGCTCTAGTCTGCAGATGTTTGGGTCAGTCGGAGTGGACAGTTGGAGAGAGAGTTCAGTAGTGTGTGAGGGGCGCAGACTCAGACCAGTTGGAGTTTATCAAACGTTTTCTTCGAGCCGACTCTGAGCGTAATCTAGTGTAAACTGGTCAACGACTCAATCTGAACAGATTCCTGCAACAGCTAATGAAAACTGAGAGTGTGAAAGAAGAAAATACAGTAAACAAAAAAAAAAATGATGAAAAGTCTCTCACATGTGGAGCGAAGCTTTTTAATGAGCTGAGTTTAAGGCATGAGCACAAACGAGTTTACATACTTTTAAAACTCCCATGCTGATCACATTTTAAAATCCATGATCCTCAATTAAACATGTTTACCTGCTGCTTCTTTACTGTGTCGGCGCAAACGGCAGAGAAAACAGCAGGAGTGAGCCGCTCCACTTTTGTTTATTTGCGTCTCCTAGTAACAGGAGAATGCAAGAGTTCGCGTGAGTTTACGCAAGTTCAGTGAGTTCCGTTTGATCCAGCAATAGCTTAAAAGTCGAGTAGTGTGTGATCTCCAATATTTTAGTCGCCCAAAAAATCTGCGGGATAGTGTGAAATGACCAGTCCTTTTATAATCTGTTCAGACTTTAAAAGTCGTGTAGTGAACCCAAGGCTTTACTAGTACTACACAGTTAATATGGGGAACACTTCTTAATATGTCAGTGCATTAATACAGAATTCAGTTGATGTGTGGGCTCACAGGTGTGCGTATATCAAGTAGTTGACAATGGCTTCAAACGTAGCTCAACTGATCAGATTTCAGAACTGGAATGATGTGGTTTTTTATAATTGATATTTGAATGGGTCATGCCTGTGATTTTAGGCTTGTCAGTTAATAATTAATTATTAACTAATGACTAATGGCTGTCAGTTATGGGTCAAAAGACTGTTCCAAAGTTGTCATCTCTAATCGAGTATGTTGTGTATTACTATATAAAGTCGTGTGAAGAAATAAGTAAAAAGCCTTTTTCAACATATTTACAGATATTCAGTATTTATTTAAACCACGTTTCCTTCTCAATAAAAAATGAGTAAACTATCATTTATCACTTAAATCAGGTGCAACTGAGCAGGTGCTAATGAGTAGATAATTAGAGAACATCTTGGAGGAGTCTTATTTAAATCTCAGATATCTGGTCTGGTCTGCTCTTTATTATTGGAGTGTATGATATCATTATGTCTAGATCAAAAGGCCTTCAGACAGGAGGTTGTATATGCTTATGAGTCTGGAAAGAGATTTAAAAGATTTCCAAAATTCTGGAAGTCAGTCATTTCACTGTGAAGAAAATCACTACAAGTGCAGAAGATTTAAAACCACTGCCAACTTGTCCAGGCCAGGCCACTCCAGCAAATTAAACCCGAGAACAGACCATAATATGCTAAAAGAAGTTTGTAAGAACCTGAAAATGTCAGGCCGCTCTTGCCACTGTTGATGTCAAAATGCATGAATCTACTGTTACACAGACACTGCCCAAACTTGGACTTCATGGGAGGTGTTTGCCCTCTAAGAAGAACACCAGGACAGGACTGAAGTTTACCAATGAGTATCTATGCAAAGATCCAGACTTCTGGAACAATGTGATATGGACAGAAGGTAGAGTTGTTTGGCCACACCAAGAGCCATGTTTGAAGAAAACCAAAGCAGGATTTGATTAGAAGACCCTCATACCAACCTACCAACAGTGGTGGAAATGTAATGGTATGGGGCTGCTTTGGTGGCCACTGGCAATCACAGAATTGACTATGAATTGACTTTTAGAAAAATGGGAGGCCATTTGTCAAAAAGTTGAAAACAAAAAAGTGGACCTTCTAACAAAATGATCCCAAGTAAATCCACCAATGAATGGCTCAGAAGAAAGAAACAGAGGGCTGTGGCCCAGTCAAAGCTCAAATCTGAATCCTATTAAACTGGTTTGAAATGGGCTGTGCATGCAAGCAGCTCCTCAACCATTGGACAGTAACTGGTGGACACTAGACAATGCCTACATACAGTGGTTTCTGCCCAAGCAGACAATACCAGGTACTGAAGTACAATCAATGATGCTACTCAAATCATCCTTTATGTCTAAACATTTGTAGACATCCAGTGTTTCTTCTGAAATCAAGGGTTTTAATAAGGAATTTGCCAGCCTCTACTCTTCTGGGAAGGCTTTGATGTACATTGCTGTGAGGATTTGATTGCATTCAGCCACAAGAGCATTAGTCAGGTCAGTTACTGATGTTGGATGATCAGTTCTGAATCACAAAGGTATTGGATGGGGCTCCATCACTTCAGAGAATGCTGGGGGGCTTTATATCCCTCTAGCCTACGCTTGGCATTGAGCATGGTCACCTTAGGCTCATGTGCAGCTGCTCCAGAGCGTCCTATTCTATCAGGCAGTGCTTTTCTATGGAGCCTTGTAGTAGCTAAATTCACTAATTGGAAGGTAGAAGGTACTTTCTTCCATGCTAAAACTCTCTTTTTCTTCTGTTGTGGTCCTTCAGAGGGAGAAGGAGACGCTTCCCTTCTTCATGCAGGCGGATTGCACGGTCACCTCGCAAACGGGTGCAAAAGCCTTCAAAATCCCCCTGTCCATTCGGCAGCGGATCTGCGCCACCTTCGACACTGCCAACGCCAAAGGCAAGGACTGGCAGCTCCTCGCCCAGAAACTCCACATTCAGAGGTAAAAGCCCTGGAGAAACGCAGGCAGCAGAAGCCTATTCATTTATCAAACGTATAGCGGTTTTGTAAATGAATCCATCGTCAAACTGGCCAACGCGGTCGGCTCCCCCGCTGCCGAGCCCCTTCGCTCAGAGTTCATTGTACAGCCTGGGTTATTCAGCTTGACAAATGACCGTTTTTTTTTAAATTAAAGAACCACTCGGAATATGAAGAACAGTTCTTTGGCCTTTGCTTCTCAGCTGCCAGTACGCTGACACAGTTAGTGCTGACGAGCCGTGCGCCGTTACGTAATGATACGACTGTATCCCGGGAAACTCTTTAAATAATCATATTACTGTTATGACATGTACACTATACATTATACATCATCCGCACAATATTTAATTACCTCTGCATGCTAAGTATGTCATTTCGCAGAGGAAAGCGCTTGATGTTTGTGATGTAACTCACTGTTGGGCTTTAAGGAAAGTTATTATTACATGAATGCTTTTGTTTTTTTTCCTTCGGATAGTTGACTTGAAGCGAATAAGTGCTCTTTATTTTGTGCTACAGTAAAAAAGGTCTGTGAGATCCTTTTGAAACTGTGTTTAAACACTGCCCCCAACTGTCCATAGATATTACTACAGGCTACAGTGGTTCAGAAAACAAACCATGCTTTGCCATTCATGGACTAATCAGCTAATTATAAGCAAATGTGTTTTTTCTAACTCATTATCTAGGCATATTTGCAGTATTAACAGTGGTAATTTCAGTGCTGGTTATTTCCTTTATATTGCTCTGTATGATGGCATTTTGGTTCTTATTCTTGTTCGCTCATTATATCAGGTTAACTTTTCATCTAGACATTAGGGCCTGACCAATAGTTAGGTCTTCTCTATTACATGATGCTATCAGTTATTGAGAGTGGTTTTATGTGAAATGGTCCATTGTACAGACTCTTTACAGTGGTGGTGATAGGAACCAGGCATCACAATGCCTATAACACAGATATAATCGTGTTATTTAAATGTAATGTTAATGATGGTAGTTCTTTGGGTACTATTTTGCCTTCTAACGTCCTGCATCTACCTCTTCGCCTTGAAAGACTGGGAACGGGTAATGAGAATGGGGGGAAAAAACTATTTTCTTAAACCAAAACCTTCTCAAAAAACCTTCTTCATCATAAAACAGCATCTCAGATGGCAGTCAGCGTATTCATAACCACTCCATGTAATAAGTTTCTCTGAGGGAGCTTTAAGTGGCACTTCAGACATCTGGATCTTATCTCCACCACTGCGAACAAGTCTCACTCAGCAAATTTCTCTAGAACAGCTTTCACATCCAACCCCTCTGAATGACTTTGGTTACATATTAATAACCGTGGGATTCAAAGGGATTCAAACTCAGGACTGTCCACGGTCCACTGCCGCAAAAAATGACAAAACACTGAAAAGGTTTTAAAAACTAAGTTTGAGAAAAGGGTTTTCAAAACACTGAAAAGGCATTAAAAATTGTATCTGTGCACTGATGTCGGTATTTTCACCATTTTCGGCCACTCCATATATTAGTCAGGCTTTGCTAGGTATAAACTCAGACTGTGCTCCGTTGTATGCAGTGCTTTTTTAGCTGAGACAACAACTTCACAGTGATATTAAAGACTGGCATCATAAACGGAGAAGCAAGGACAAATAAGCAGGAAAAAAACAAAAGAGTGATGAACAACTAGCAATCAAAAGAACAAAAACAAAGCAATATGTAGGCCAAAGGGTGTAATAAAAATAGATACAGTATGTGAGTAAATCACACACAATTAGGAATCACTGCAGCTTCCCGGCCAGTTTTGAGTGCTACAGCAAGTGAAGCTCTCAACAACACTGCATCTACTGAAATATACCAATAAAATATACCAATGAAATATAACAGCTGAGGTGTACTGGGGTTATAATCTGTGACATGGCACAATTTGATTTGGTTAGAATTACTTCAGTACTAGCAAGTATCGAAAGATTCTGTGTCATAAAACATCAAAATTCAAGACTGAAGTATTCGGTCTCAATGTCTATGAGCCAATAAGAAGGCTTATTCCAAGATACAGATATGTAAGCCTATTATTAAAGTCAGAGCTTCTTGACTGTTACAATCTGTTGCAGTCAGAAAATACGTCCACTCTCAGCACCTCAGCATGAACATGACTGGAGGAACTGCCTTTAGGGCTCCCGCGTGGTGCAACCGTCTAAGCATTGGTCTTATCGTCAGGAAGTTGTGAGTTCAGTCCCCAGCGAAGCCACAGCCATCCATGTCTAAGACAACTTAATTGTTCTTTCTATCTCTCTGGGTCGGTAGCCAGCATGGGCATCCGTTAGCTGATGTAACAGAATTAGCTGTTAGCTTTCTCCTGTCCATGTCAAATGACATTGCATTAGCACATGGGTCGGTAACCAAAATGTTAAGAAAAGCCATTTTGTCCTTTCAGCAAAAAGCAAACCATCCTGGGAGCCACAACATTTTAAACATGTCTCAGTGTGTGCTAATGTACTACTATAGGCTAAAAATGAAAGTGAAAATGCAGACTTACTCTGCTTTAAGCTTTAGCTCAGCTATTGCCGCTTTTCTCGCATCTCTGGCAGGAAACTTTTCCTCAAAAGTAGGATAGTTTCTTATAAAATGTCTCTTAATGTTCAACATTTTACAAGGCTGAAGTCAGCTTCTCATTCGCCAGCTTCTCGTTCAAATTTTCCCATTCGACCTTAATGGTGCCTAAAGCGCCAGAATGTAACTGCTGCACCATTTAAGGTGGAACGGGAAAATTCTAACAAGAAACTGGCGAACAAGAAGACTTCAGCTTTGCGACTTTTTAGTGTTTGACATTTTCTCACTGCAGATTAAACGTATCAGGAAACCAGCTGGAGTGATTATAAACGCAAATAAGTCAATTCATCTCCAAATTATTGATGTTCGTCTTAAATCTTTCTTGTCTGTGTTGCTGTGGTGACCAGCAGTCTGCGCACCAACCTTCAGGGTTGAAGGGTGAATTAGCAGATATAGGCTACATCAACTCCAGTGTTTAAGACCATTTATTGTTAAAATGGTGTTGAACAATCAGCAGAGCTTTATTTTATTGTAAAAGAGGATTATTTTATTTTTACCTATTCTAATTCTGCTGTGGAGCCGCAACAGGGCAGTAAAAGAGCCGCATGTTGCCGACCCTTGCAGTCCTAGCTAGAGAATTTGCCACGACTAATTGAAGATTATTGTACTGTGTTATAATTGATGATACAGTCGATTGGTCGCCTTTAGATCCATGCATCATGCACTATTAACCCTAATGGTCACCACATTTGCTCTTACTAACCACTCGTTCAGGGTTGACTGCAGCCCTGTCCTTTTTTTTTTTCCCATCTGCATTTTCACTCAGTCAGTTACGCTTTGCTCTGTCTCTGCAGAAACCTGTCATACTTTGCCAAGCAGCGCAGCCCGTCTGGGGTCATCCTCAGCCTGTGGGAGGCCCAGCACCAGGCCGGCGGCGACCTGGACTCACTGGCCAGCGCTCTGGAGGAAATCAGCAAGATCCACTCCAAAAGCTCGGCCCATAGCCCCAGCGAGACGGAACCGGACTTCAACCAGTGACCCTCGTGGATGCAAACCCAATCACTGCACGGGTCAGCTGACGCCAAGAGTGTTTGACTCCTGCACGTCCAGCTCAGAGAGAGAGAGAGAAAGTGAGACATGAAAAATCAAGTACAACATACATGAGTGCTGTATGTGCGCAGGACGTACCGGCTTCTAAAATTCGGTCCAGCTTAAAAAGGAGGGAAACCCCAAAAAACACTCGAAGTGAAGGAAGTTGTGCCTCAGCCGCACCTCATATATCTTCGTTAGATATCGTGTAGAGGCTCGGGTACCGTTCATCTTTTGTTTCGGCTTCGTCATCGGTCAGCATCCTCTCTTTTCCGGCAAAGCTGTATGTGTGTGAGTCCAGCGTCCAGCAGCATGGACCTTTAAACGCTTCGATGTGGTGACACTTACTTACTTACTTTGTGGTTTGTTTGCACTATGAAGCATTAGAGCAGGGAGGTCAATGAAGCGCTGCGTTTGAAAGAAGCATTACCCGTCATCCCTTGTCAAGTGAGGATCTGCTTCTCCTATTTTTTTCTGTTAATTTTTTAGAGAGCCAGCCGTTGTAAATGCTGTAAGGGGGGCGCTGATGAATAAAATATGTTAAAGGGTGTTTTGCTGTTGTTGTTGTTGACGTCGTTATCTTCAGATGCACAAGCTGAAGGAAAAGAAAACACATGCATGGCAGTCTTGGGCTTACGTGAGGGCTTAGCGCTGACTTTAGGATCGAGGAGGGGCCTCGCTGGCTCAGAAGGCCTGTCAAGACAACAGCACAAATGTGTTCCTCTCAGATAACAACAGCAGTCACTGCGGTTGCCTCTGAACGGAGGACGTTGGCCTGGTGAGTCAGTTGCTGTGAGCTTCTTGACAGTACAGTAAAACCCCCTATTTTCAAAAAAAAAAGCCTCAAATTATGACAAATCCCTCCTTTCCTCCAACTGATACACCACCACCGTGTCCCCGTGTCAAAATATGTTAAGCTGTGCCGCCTCTGCCAGCGAGTTGAAGGCATAAGGTGCCGGCAGTGTCAGTCTGCAGTAAAAGAGGGTCAGCGTATAGGCGAAAAAGCAGCTGTTAAAACGACTGGCTCAGCTAATACTGCTGCGTGCCGCCTTCTGTTCTTCCTGCTGGCTTGCTTTTGAAACGTTGGAGAAAAGAGAAGCCCCCAGAGGAACCTGGGGAGAATAAAAAGCCTCTTATCTGCCATGACCAAACTCGCTCACCCGGCCCCGGACACGATGGAGAAACAAGGGCCGGTGAGATGTAATTAACGTCCAGTGCCGGAAAAATAGCCGGCTGTCAGAAGTCCAGAGGGATGCGGCAGCAAGAAAGTTATGCCCTTCTTTTCCAAATCATCTCCTTCATTAATCTGCTCCCTCAACGGGGGCTCTCATTTTGGGTGGTTTTCAATAGCTCGGCCTCAGCTAAAGAGCAGCCGTGCCCCACCACAGACATGCCAGCAGTCATTAGCAGTGAAAGACTCGTTTGAATTATGGTTAATACCTTAGACATTTTAATGTCCAAGAGGGACATTTGGAAATATGGACTTACAGAGACAGTTTCACTTACTAAAGGCACAGATCAGTCAAGGACTGCTAACGTGTTTAACGGTGAACATAAGATACTAGCTGGTATATTAGCTAGCATGCTAGCATATTAGCTGTTGAGTTGGAGGGGGGTTCACACTGTGTTTTTCTGAAGGTGGAAAAAATGCACTTCACATTCTTTTTCTTCATTTTCTTGGGGGTTCACGCTGCGTGCTGCTTCTGGTTGCACGTCTTCCTGTTGCTAAGCAACAGTAGCGTCGTAACTGCCAATAAGCTATGCTACCTAGCTATACCCAGCTAGCTGTCATCCTTATAGACAGTAATCTGCTGTCAGCTAGCAAGCATGGTGGTACTAGCAAAAACAAGCGAAACAAAAGAAAAGCCTTTTGATTGATTGATCAGTGAAATCTTATAGTTCAGTTCAGGATCAGTCTTTACAGTTGACCCTGAAGGCCTGGCTTCCATTTGATCTGACGTAGCTCACGACGAAGGCTACTAGGGATGTGCATGGGTACTCGAGCACTCGGTTGACTGTTTAAGGTTCCAGCATTCGAGCACCGAAATCACTTTTCGGGCATTTGGTCAGTGTCATTGGGGGAAAACAGAAAATATACAGACCAACATTTTAGTGGAACTTTTTATTTATATTTGAACGTGAGCATGTTACCAAGGACGTGCTGGCAAGGACATGGCTGCTTTACTGCTAACTAGGCTAGCTACTCTAGGAGCAGAAACCGTAAAAAAATACACATTTCCTTGACAAAATAACATGTTGGATTATCGTCCAGTGAGAAGAAACACACTGATGACGAGTCCTCATCTGCATCCAGTGTGGCACTGGTTAGCTCTGCTAGCTCATTAGCTCATCTGAAAGGGCAGCGTCTGTTACCCACCCAACACAAAAACCTACCAATTTCCCTCAGCTTTTTTTGCAACACCAGTGCTGTCACCTCAAAAAGTAAGTTTACAGCTCTACATTATTTCTCCGTGCTGTGGTTAACCGAATATCGGTCTGGACACTCGGACATCAGAATTAGTCAAAATACACATTGATCACTTTGTGTCGAACATTTTTTTTCATAAAACATGAGGTGTCCAGCACATAAAAAGCATCTCTTCCATTGCAAACAACAGAAAAAAATGCACAGTGTGAACTCCCCCAACTTTTCCTGAGCCTTTCTACCTTTCATTGGTGATTTACGATGCTAACAGCTTTTGAGCAAAGTGTTATCCTAAATGGTTTTCCTCCACTGACTGTATGACGCTGATTGTCGCTGAGATGTTTTCACCAAGCTGGAATAAATAGAGCTCCATCTTGTGTGTCCTTTCATTTGCAGTCTAGTTCACCGTTTCTCAGTCACAGTCCTGGGGACTCCATTTACTGCACATTTCTGTGTTTCCCCTGCTCTAACACACCTGCCTCACCTCATAGAGGGTTTGATAAGTACCTGATGAGTGCCAGAGAAGAGGGGAAGCCAATGGTGTCCCCAGGACCGAGATTGAGAAACACTACTCTAGTAGATGCTGCTGCTGCACAGCGAGTATTGCTATGCAGCCCAAAGACCTATTTTATATCTTTCACCTTATTACTTGATTTCGTACAAAGTTTTCAGAGGTATACTTATATATTTATGAGAGAAACCCTGTGTGATATCTATGTGGATTCAAAATAGTAGATGATAAAATATGGTATGTGGTTTGATTGTGATCTGAAGTGTGTTGGAACTAGAGGATCCAATGAGGGCACCTCTTAGCCATCCTGTCTACAGTACTGTGCAACAATAGACCATCATTTATTTCATTTCCAGTCAAAACAGCTATTAAGTATTATTATTATTCATTTCAGTGTCAACAATAAACACATATTTAACAGAAAGCTTTAAAAAACTAATTACAGTATAATTGTTTTCAGTATTCATTGTGTCTATTCTTACATAATTACAGCTTCCATTCTTTTCAGGAGACTCACTTTCAGTTTTTCAAAGAAATCTGCAGACACACCTCCAAAGTTCAGTCTTAGAAGCTGCTTGATAATTTTCTTAAGTTCTCAAACACATTCAGTGATGTTGAGGTCTGGACTCTGGGGTGGTCAGTCCATTGTTCAGCTTCTTTGTTTGATGTGTCCGTCTCCTTTTCTCAGTGAGGTTCTTCTTGACAGCTACACATCCTTTCAGACCCATAGCGCTGAGTCGTCTTCTCACAGTGGAAGGAAGGACAGAAACACCTGTGGATGTTTTCAGATCTGAAGCAGCTTGATTTTCTCCTCTCTCTCAAAGATGAAAGCTTTAAGTGCTGTTTATCTGATGGGGACAGTTTTGGGGTCTACCAGGTCTTCCAGGTGGTTGTTAGGAATCCCATTTGTAGCTTTTAATCATTTTTTGAACCCCTGATTTTGGAAACTCACTAATTTACTTTGACTTTCCTCTTCCTCTGTCTTAGCTATCATATACCATCTGCTCAGAAATATCTCCTGAAAAATGTAAAAAAATAAATTGAAGGGTGCTCTCTAACCTGCACAGTACTGTATTTCAGGCGGTGTAGAGGTACATCAGATTGATGCCATTACTATCAATGGAAATGCTGCTTAAAAACCGGCTGGGTAAGTACAAGACAAGTACCTAACATTATAGTTTCTTGTCTGGACGATGCAGCTTCTTTATCTCCACCATGACCCAGTTAAAGAAATCCAAGCTCATTGATTTATAAATGATCTGCTAGCAGCTGATTTCTGCTTCTTAAGCCAGAACGAAAAGACCATCTAATGGTTGTAATGATGTGTTAAGCTTTTGTATTTCTATAAGCAACTATACTAAGTATTCATATTCAAGAGATTCTATAAAGTTATACAGTATGTTATCACAGGCCATTCGGTCAGGTTTTATCCATCCTTCACATGGTCATTAAAGGTAATTCCTAAAACTGGTAATGATTAAGATGTTGGAAGACATGCCTTTCTTTTTTTTCCCAACCAGGCCTGCATAACTAAATGGTTGAGATGTAAGCAAAGCCATTCAGAGTGGTTTAGAATTGTTTACAGTGGTGGTGATGGGAACCTGACATCTGACCAGCTTCTTAAAGCTCCCTCAGAGAAAGTTAATGCATGAAATAGATATGAATACGCTGCCTGATATCTGAGAGACTGTTTTAGGGTAGTTTTCAGAAGTTTTTGATGTACCGTTATTTTCCAGTCGCCACCACTGTAAATAATTTACTCGGTAATAAGTTACTCTATACAACAGTGGTCAACAACCTGGGTCTTGGAGGTCTGCTTTCCTGTTGAATCCAGTTCCAACCACAATCTGCAACATCTGCTCCGGCTAATTAGCGTCTTCAGACGTTCTTGAGTGGCTGGATCAGACGCCTGAATGCAGGGGTGTGGAGTGGGCAGCTTATTAGATGCAGGTAGGAGCTAAACTCTACAGGAAAGTAGATCTCCAGGAGGAGAATTGGTGACCGCTGCTGTACAATGAACCATTTCACATCAAACCACACTGAATTTTTTTACATTTCAACCGCTGAAATCCCCCTTTTATGGATGTATGATTGGCTTTT